GTAAGAGGAACATTTGTGTTGTTTGGCATGAGAGGCGTGTGGTCGTTCCCATGGCAACGTTGCTTCACACACAAACACACGTGTGACTTGATTACACGAGTGTGATTTTGAAATTACAATTTCAGTCACAAAAAGGAAATGAGCTTATTTTGGTTCTTTCGATGGAGTCTCATCTACAGGCTTTATTAGATGTTACATTCCCTGGCCACTTTATTAGGTACACTGTGTTCTGGGACCAGGGTGGATCCCCTTTTACCTTCTAAACTGCTTTAGTTCCTCAAGTCATGGATCCAACCAGCTGTTCCTCAGAGGTTCTGGTCCATCCTGACATGACTGGATCAGCTGCATCCATGATGAGAACTTCCCATTCTGCCACATCCCAAAGGTTCTGGACTGAGATCATGTGACTCAGGGTCATGTTCTAAAAACTGGTTAGAGGTTTTTTGAGCTTTGCGACATGGTGCACGATCCTGCTGGAAGTAGAATAAGAAGACGGGTCAATGTGGTCATAAAGGGATTGACATGGTCAGCAGCAGGGGCGTAGCACCAAATTCTGGGCCCTAGGTACAAGTCTTCTAGGTGGGCCCCATGCTCAATTACTTAATATCTCTCTTAAACATTTTTTGTCATGCCATAAGACAAGATAATAAATATGATCTTAGTTTAACCTCTATATTGAGCAAATACAAATGCCAGCATAATAAAAGTGAAATGCCCAGACTTCACATATAATTATTTTTATTTGCCAACAATGTGTTCAAACAAAAATCCTGGAATTTATTTTCCAGTAAATGCCCACTGACGGGTCTTCATGTTAGCAAAATCACTTATGAGATCTTTAAAGTCCAATCCTTTGGCTAATTGGCTTTCAATAGAAAGAAGAGCTAGGCTGTTCAGTCTATCCTGGGACATTGTTGATCTCAAATAATTTTTCACCAGTTTCAGTTTGCTAAAAGCCCGTTCACCCCCAGCAACAGTCACAGGTAGTGTGCAAAATATCCTCAGTCCAATACAAACTTCTCCAAAAATGCTCTGTAATTGCATCCTGTAGATGGCATTAAGCAGCTCAAGAGGATACCGAATGTGTGGAAATGTGGCACCATATATTGTTCTCAGGTGTATCATCTCATTCTCAAATTCAGCTGTGAGATCCTTGTAATATTTTCTCATCAGTGCCTGGCATGAAATCTTCATCTGCTCTTCAGTCATGTCTGTCATGGTGCATGATGTTAAGCTTTGCTGATATGTATTGATATATTAAATACATATGACATGAAATAAACCAGGTTCTCTCTGTGAATGTAATGTACTCTAAATTTTATAATCCCTGCATTATCAGCCAAATTATAAGATTGTCCATTTTCAAGATCAAATATAAAGAAATTTAAAATAGGCTTAAAATATCTAACCAAGTCAATAACAATCCTCTAACACCAGTGTCATCATGCTATACGAAAAACAGTGGCAGCTTCTCATTCCTGAGATTACCACGAATCCATCGATACCAAGTTTGTCCTGGTCCATGACTGGGAAGGAGCTGAAATATCCACACAGAGTGAACCTGTTTTTACTGCGAGGTCCGCAAATTAATTGGCGGCGGCCGCCCACAATAATAATTCTGATTAATATATATATATAAATTAGTGTTTTCACTGATAACACTAATTAATTTATATTTGATCTTGATGGTGAAACTAAAGGCGTTTAACACTGAACACCTAACATGAATGCAGCTTCTGAGAGCTAGCTAATATCAGCTAAAACTGTGTTCTGCTGCAGCTCACCTTCCTTCTTGAAAACCCTAGTCAATACTTGCTTCTGTTCAGTTAACTTTTTCTCCTTCTTTTCTTTTCTTCTCTTTTCTGGAAGCCAGATTTCCCTTTCTTGGGAAAAGACATGACTGACTCTCCTGCCTCCAGCTCTGGCTGTCGGCATCTGCGATGTCTCATAGCTGTACATGCGGCCGTGCAGCCCCCGGCCGCTGGTGTGGACTAAACCACATTGCACATTTTTAAGGGGTGATAGATGCCTCGGAGATTATTCAGTTATTATTTTTAAGGCGAAATTCTGTTTCTTAACCCCTTTATCCTGGTAACGGGAAGTTTATTAAGACATTAAGTAAGTTGGGGGAAAAAAACAACAACAATAAAACATTTTTATTTAAAGCTGTCTCAGGGCCCCTCCCTGCAGTGGGCCCTGGGTAAACAGTACCCTTTCCCCCCCCAGTCCGACGCCCCTGGTCAGCAGCAGGGATGTGTATTTTTGAAATTCTGGCGATACGATACATATCACGATACAGGGGAGACGATACGATATATCACGATATGTTGCGATACATTCAGTCAGACGTTACAAGCAATTTTTTTGCTGAATTTATTGTAAGAATGTTCAAAAAACAGTCCAAACTGATACGTAACATGTTTAACGTGAGGTATCTGAACCATGATGGAGGGATTTACATTTCAATGGGGGAAACAAAAACCCGTCGCACACTGCTGCCAACTAGCGGGTGGCGATTGAATTGCGCAAAACGAAAAGAAAATACACAAATGTTTGCATGTAAATTCTTTCAAGAGTTACAGTAGATACACGAAATATTGATGTAATAATCACAGGAAAAAATATCACGATATATTGCCATATCGATATTTCCGATACACGGCTTTTGAATATCGATATAATATTGCTGGGAAAAATATCACAATATATTGCCATATCGATATTTTCTTACATCCCTAGTCAGCAGCAATACTCAGGTAGGCTGTGGGGTTTGAACCAGGCTCTACTGGTACTGAGAGGTCCAACATGGGATAAGAACATCAACCCCCACCAATCAATACCCCAGCAGCAGTCTGAAGCTTTGATATCAGGCAGATGGATCCGTGCTTTCTTGTCAGTGGCACCAAATTCTGACCCGACAGCTGAGATCCAGACACATCAGACCAGAAAGTATTTTCCAGTCTTCTGGTGCAGCTCTGGTGATCCTGTGTGAACTGCAGCCTCAGGTTCCTGTTCTTAGCTGACAGGAGAATCACCTGGTGTGACCTTCTGCTTTTGGAGTCCATCTAGAGCAGCTGGTGTGCTTTTGAAGGTTAAAACTGAATCATCTCTGAGGAGCAGTGGGCTAACATCGGTACTTCACCCAGGGGGAATCAGAACCATTAGTGTTTGGGATGGAACCGCTCACCTTCCGATGAGGGAAGCTCTCTTCCGCGTTGAGCTATGGCTGCTCCATAAAGCCTAACTGACCGTTAGCTGCCACTCATAGATTTTCTCATCTTCAGACCGTTCTCTGTAAACCATAGAGAAGGTTTTTGTTCAAATCCAGTAGATCAACCCAAGTCCCTTGAGTCGCCTTCTTCTTCATTCTGATGCTGAGATTGAAATTCAGCAGGTCCAGAGGAATAAATGCTGCCTTCTGATTGGCTGATCAGATATTTGCGCTGACACGTGAGTCAACTAAATTTTCATGTAGATGATTAGTTTGTGGATTGTTTCAGTTGAGAAGCAGCCTGCTGTTCTAAGACTGAGGTGGACAAGCCTCTCCAGGTCAGAATGCAAAGCCTGCAACCTTCTGTGCCAGTGGGTTATGGTGCTAAGCTAATTAGTGCTGCTGAATGCTGCAGCTGTTGGGTTAGAGGTAAACCTGTGTCGGGCCTGCTGGGAAAACGTGAGCCCAGTCAGTTGGTCGGTGGATGAAAGCCAGCAGCCTGGAAAAGTGAGCTGCGGAGGCGGAGACCGGAATGTTCATATGTGTATACCACACCACTGACACAGGCCACACACCTAATACTACTGTGGGGTTTTTAATTTGTCAAAACATATTCCTAAAGTCACAAATTAGAGTATAAATTAGCCCTCAGTTAGTTGTATTCTCATAACCAGAATCGTCTTGAACTTAGAGCCAGAACTCTAAAAAGACGGGTTGTAAACTGGCCGGTTCCCGAAATCCTACCATGTACTGAGCGTGTGTGTGTGTGTGTGTGTGTGTGTGTGTGTGTGTGTGTGTGTGTGTGTGTGTGTGTGTGTGTGTGTGTGTTTACAGAGCACAGCTGTGCTTTGGATTTATCTCACAAAGCTTCTTTGCAGCCCTCGTGTCTATCATGCAGGCGTGCTCAGTCATTCACTTCCAAAGCTGCAGTGGTGGTGTGTGTGTGTGTGTGTGTGTGTGTGTGTGTGTGTGTGTGTGTGTGTGTGTGTGTGTGTGTGTGTGTGTGTGTGTGTGTGTGTGTGTGTGTGTGTGTAACAACACTGTATAAATTAGTACGTATGGAAATGTGCGGCTTGGACCTAAACCCCTGAGGTCAGCGTGATCCATTCCTGTGATCTGTTCTACGTCGGACTCAGAACAGGCTACTGGATCACTAAGTGATTAAATGCTCTCTCCAGTAATCTCAATTTATTGTTTCTGAACATTGTGGCCATATGTTTTTAATATTGCTGTGCACGCTACAGAACACTGCATGCATTTTAATCTCTTTGGGTTTGACCTGTTTCAGCTGTTTTGGGTGATTTTATTGAATTCTACACATTTAATATGTCTTCATCTAAGCTAAAGAAACAGTTGCATATCACATGATTTATAGTTTCAGATCTGATCTACATGCTCAGAAACAGTTTACCTTATTGGGAAACTCAGAGGTGGCTGGTGGGGTCTGCAGGCTTGGGATGTGATGTTGGAAATCCCGCCTACGCTTCCCTGTTCACCTTCATGTTTGGATTTTTTTTTAATAATTTTGAATCTAAATCTGCTGAAGGTAACTTCTTTATGAAGCAGAGACAGTTGTGCTTTCCATTTCTTCTGATCATCCTTGAGATGGTCCTACACCTTCATTGGTGTCCAGCTGTGGTGATGACACTGACTGGACTTGATTAGCAAAGTCACACACCTGTCGATATATGACCTCACAGCTCACAACGCATGTCAGAACAAATGAGAACCATGAGGTCAAAGGAACTGCCTGAAGAACTTAGAGACAGAATTGTGGCGAGGCACAGAT